ATTTTATTCAAATGTTGTGCTTTATCCATAGGATCTGTTTTGTCCCTATTCTCAAGAATCACTGTAATACATTGTTATAATAATTTATCATTTAATGACCACAAATTTATAATTAATAATATGCAAGGGCTGTTATTACTAAGGCTTGTGCAGACAGACTCTAACAGTTACCTTATTCACAAGAAATTCAGCTACATGGAAAGGCACCATGTAGCTGGTGCTGACGTAAAATAGCACGAAGAAGCGCTAGCGTAGCTTGTGTTGGTAGTTGCACAAATAAACCAATTGACATGAATAATTAAAAAAAAAGACTTCTCGTAACATGGGGATACACATCTAAATGTTAAGTCAGCTATTTTACTTACCTACATGAACTAGGAGGTCCCTGGCAAGAGGACCATATCTACTGGGTAGAGGAAGCCATATTGTAGAGCTAAATGAATAGGCTCACTGTTCAGAACTTAATGCTACCATATAAACACATGTATGGATAAAGTCCACTAAAGGTCAAAGTCCGATATTCTATGTCGAAGTTAATTTATAAGACAAAGATATGAAAACACTGAACAGCTTTTTGAACGGGCTTCTTGCTTTTAAAACCGATGTGCTGTGAGGTTTTAACCAGGAGATGGCGCCTTTACTCCTGACTCCTTCGTCGCTTCTGCATTTACAGCAGGTGCTTTAAACAGCAGCAAATAGACGACGCAGGGCTAAATGCCCCTCAGAAAGCGTTGATGTTGTCAAGCCCCGACTTACTGACCCCGTGTCCTTGTTAAAGTCAGAAGCTGAAATCTCTAAATTAGAGATCAAACCAGTGAGAGTATCTTGAGTCCACTGTAACAAATATGGCTGACAAACCATCTGCTCTGTTCCAACCCCATTTCAAATCAGTTTTTGCAGACAGCAACAAGAAAAGCTCAAATTAATTTTTATTTTATTGCCATTTTTATTTTGTTTATTATTATTATTATTATTATTATTATTATTATTATTATTATTATTATTATTATTATTATTATTATAAAGACACAACAAATGTTGCAATTCGGCAAAAACCTAATTAAAGAAATGAATAACTGCTCTCCTTAAAAACCTCAAGCACAGCTAAATTTGCCAAAGTAACTCAGCTATTGAGTCATGTTTATTGTAGTCTTATGAACTGAATGGCTCACCACTAAGGGCGCTGTCTCAAGTCGAATGTGTTACACGATGTGTTTCCCACAAGCTCATATGATTGTACACATTAATCTCACCGTCTTCATCCGAGTCACTTGATTTTGCCTCTGTCCTCCAGGACGATGGTTTTGCTGACTCACTGCAGCTGGCAACATCACCAGTCAACTCAAGCCCTAAGACAAAAACTATTTGCCATGTGTGTTTCAGTGTGAAACGACAGGAGAAACCAGCCAAAGATATATTTAGCTGTTTTTAACACCTTTTAGTTACATTTAATTTAAAGTGACTGCTGCCTTAACAATCCATGGTCTTTTAGTTGACTCCTTATTGTGGGAGTAAAGATTGGACTCCTGTAGGATATGTGCTGCATATTGTTTTGAATTAACCTTTGTTTTGTCAATGAATTTCCAACATATAAAATCTTAAAAAAAAAAAAAGAAGTGACAATTGGTTTGCAGCATTAGTGTGCTTATTGTACAAATTCAGTAACCAGATATATATGTATATTTTTGCTGTGGAAACAGAGCACTGGAGGCTGCTTTCATAATGTTTGTTTCTTAACTTATTTGCATAGTACACAGAAAATTCAGAAGGACCAGCACTCATTTTGTAAGTGCTCTTGGGAGTAAGTAGCTGGAGGCAATTTGAATGTGTGGGTGTTATTTATTTATTGATTGATTTATTTATTTAAGTGTTTTACTTCTGTGGATTTGCTGCTCTTACAGCCAAAAAACATCAAGCTTTGAGTGTGAATATTTAGTGGGAGATTAGAAGTGAACATAATCAGTGAAGTGCTTTCTCTGTCATTTGTCGAAGCCACACCCGTGACCCCATCAGGGAGCCTCACTAGTATGCCCATGTTTGGTACATATACATGGTTGTTGCCATAGAAACCATTCCCCAAATAGCTGTAGCCATGGAAACACCTTCCCTGTCTCCATCGGGGAGCAAAAAGGAAAATGCAGCCTTTTTTTTTTTTTTTTTTTCAGCAGTTCTGCTAACATGAACTCTTGAACCTTCTTTATCATGCTCTTTGCTCTCTGAATGAAAAATGAAAGTCAAAACTGTAAGGGAGACTTAACTGTCTTAATATCATGGAGTATTACATATTGGATGAAGCTTCAGGCTAAAGAAAATCCTGAAGAGTGATTACTACTTGTTTTTTTTTCACTGGTGGAAAGCAAATAAATCTGCTAGGTGCCACAGATTCAACTTACCTACAAGAAGCTACTAAGCTGTATGCTGGAGTGGATGACTAATTAAAAATATTGATTATCAAGCTTTCATTTCTCTCAAGACCATCATGAGTAATGGCTCTATGATTTGATTTACTATTTCCTTCAAACCTTCCCACTGAGACCCTATAAATCTATTTAGCCACTCTATTAAATTACTGTACGTCTGGAAGCTTCGTTTTCATACGCGACTGTTTGGACCATCTGCAACGAGACTTTCGGAAAGGAGAGGCTGAGCTGTGTGGGTCATTGTGTGCGTGTCTCATCTTTGCAGGGACATATCCTTTCTGACTGCTTGTTAGTCCACAAAAGGAAGTGTGACATGAAAGTGTGTGATAGAAGAGTGCAGCCCGAAGACAGTTTTGACAGTTTGTCAGCCTCGCTCGTCAAAAATAATATGAACTCTTTCTCTGTTCAACTCATCCATTTCTTTCTCCTCCACTAGACCTAAATAGAAAAACAAAAGCATTCCTTCTAAAAGTATGTCTAATATTTTCATTATGTTTTTCAGAACGATATTCTTATAAACTACACTCGGAGAAACCACAGAACTATAAGACACACACACAGCAGTACAAAACATTCTTATACGTAAACGTCCCCAAAGCAACGAATCCGAATGTACGCTTAGGAAAGAAAATTTTATTTGTGATTTTTAAACCAAACACATTACCACTGTATCCATTTAGGTAAAATAAAAAGTCTGAAAAAATAAATGAAATAAATGAAATTCACTACTTTTCACTGTTACAGTTGATGAGAAGGTGTACAAAAAAAAGGTTTCACAACATATCTCTGCTGGTCCATTCAGGACAGCACACTGCCACCATAGTTCACCACCATACATTGGGAGAGAATGACAGCATGAACACTCACTAAACACAAGAATATACTAACATATAGTCTTTTTTTTTCACAGGATTTTTTTCTTCCATTTTTTTTTATAATGGGAGTGAAAGGGAAGTGATAGCTCTTCATAGAATCATACATATTTCAGTTACAATAATACAGAGTTAAATCGTCATGTCAAAGCCAGAGACAGAGTGATTTTTTTTTGTTTGCTTTTTTAAGCTTTTTTTATTTTTTATTTTTTATTTTTTATTTTTTGCTTTGCTTTGCTTGTCTTGAAACGCAAAACCACTTTTGGGAAAAAGAGAGAAAATGAACTTGCAAGTTGAAAGGTATCACACTATATCATTTACAAATACCTAAAGAAGGTTAGTGGATGCCGTAAAACATCTGTGGAGTGTGAACATTGTGGCACATGGATGCTTGGGAGCGACAGCAGTACATACAGATATTTCCTGTGCGATTAATGAAGAAAAAAAAATAATGATACAAAAGAATAAAATCAGAGCAATCTATCTATCTATATATATATTTCTCTATATAGTGTTTGTTTCCGTAGAGCAGTACATGCAGCAGCCACTTAATGGAGTGACGTCATACTGAGCCGCAAAAACTTTTGGGACGTGGCAACAAGTTACAGGCAACGGGAGGGTAACCAACAGAAGCAGGTCTTGAGGCACATCAGTGCCCCTTTTTCAAAAACTGTCTGCGAGAAGGTTGGTGGGATAAAGCTCAGGGAACAAATCCCCGTGTGCCCAATATTTCTCAAGTTTCAATAGCTACTGTTCAATCTATGAGAAGTCTACGGTACATTTACAGCGTACATAGAAGCTAGTATGTGACTTAATGTTCCTAAACAATCAAGATGGTGAATTTTTTTTTCCCTTAATCGCTCCTTATTTTATCACATTTCTCTACAGTCGCTGTAATCGGCCCTATCCCACCATACCTCCTTGTGTGATTATCTACAAACAGGAAATGAACCACATACCGTAGTATACACAAGTTAAAAAGCACTGAACCATTTTGCACTTCAGAAGCACCTGACACGGGTTCAGGGTGCAAAGCCCTGTTTGGTTCTCCCTGGGCCTCATCCGCATTACTCCATGCTGTTCTCAGCACACCACAATGTTCAGAGCAGGCCGTCAGAGCAAGGGGTCGAGTGGGTGTCTGAGGACAACAGTGAGGTGGGCGCATAAAGCATAAAGCAATTAAAGCTATGAAGAAAAACAAACACGGGTATTATTGAATCTCTTTAAAGAACAAAAAAAAAAGACATTTCACACATTTTACATGAGAAGCAGTCGACATGATGGGCAATGAGCAAAATGACAAAAAAAAGTGATTTTCAGTAAAATTTGGTTTTTTTGTGGTAGCTGGGAACAAATACAAGCAGGTGATCATCTGTAAACTCAAGGTGTCAGGTAAGGATTGGTTGCTACCAAACATTCAAAGCAGAAAGCGTTTAGCTGTTGCTGCAAAAAGGAGGAGAAAAAGTGATATCAAAATTTCTCCAAATACTCTGTAAGGTATCTTCAGAGTCCACCATAAAAAGCCACCTCAGCTGCACTCAACCCTCTGTGATGCTCGGGAGAACGTGAGACATCTCCCCATTATCTCCCCATTTTCTCTCCACATCTTCCAGTGGTCTCTGTCCTCCTCAGTTGGGACTCTTGCAGAAGATAAAGCTCTTTGTGCGCTCTCCAAGCAAAGATAGAGCTGTTGCAAATGGTTCTTCTTCCATCCTGAGAGAGTTGATGCGCGTCTGCACTCTCAGACGTGAGCGTGCAGGACAAAGAACTTGCAGTGTCCAGTTTTCAGCCAGTCTGTTCTCTCATATTTTTTCTCTCACTCGTTCTTCCCAGGCCTCAGGTGCTTCCTGTGTCAATTGTCTCATGGGTAATAAGTTGCTATTTGCACGTTTGGATGTGTTAGCGTGCGCGCGCGTGTGGTTTCATTGAGATTTAAGGGAACACTGTTGGTAGTTACCAGTGAATCTGCAGCAGTGCCAGTTTAGCCTTTAGTTTCAGTGACTCTTGTTTGTGCTATTTACAAGTAGAGTGTGTCCAGCTCCAGACTGCATGCATCTGTGTCAATCTTTTCACATTTTCCTCTTTTATTTTTTTCCTTGGCTGGCACAGCTTTATGTTGTTTTTCTTCAATGTACTGGTCTCTTCGATTAGAGAATTCTTTACACATTGTCGTCGGGAAGGGGATAAGACAGAGGTGCCAACGTGCCCAGTGGGTTATAGGAGAAAAGAAGAACAACACAAGGACAGGAATTGTACTTCCATTTTCCAAAAAAGATCATAAAAGCAGACTCAGGGTGCATAGGCACATTGGGGCATGGAGAGGAAGAAACAATCATTTTCTTTATTTATTTTTTTAATCATTAATTGTATAAAGGCAAGATAAGTAACTTACATCAGTATTTAACTGAAGATAAACTATATCTTGGTAAGGCCAGAATCATAACAGGAAAAAAAGCTTTGAAACTTTTTCAGCAATAATGAATAATGGTAAAAAATATTCTCTTTTCACCCAGTGAACTTTGGTTGGTACCTCTGTTTTAACAGCACCCTTTTCTTCTTCGCCATTTTATGCATTTTCTGCTCTCCGTTTTACTCGTCGCCGTCATCCTTGCCTTTATCCTTCTTGTCTTTCTTCTCCTTTTCCTTCTTCTTCTTCTTCTTTTTCTTGGCCTCCTCCTTTTTCCCGAAGGTGATGAAGTCGCTCTTGTCGTCCTCTCCTCCCTGGTTCTGTCTGATGGAAATTATGGCTGGGGAGCCAGGAATGATGAATGCTTCTGGAGGAACCTCTCCGGGCTTCAGGTGCTGTGGGGGCGCTCCGGGACCACCCGGGCCGTAGCGAAAGTGCCAGCTATTGCTGTCTACACCGGCGCCCATAGGTGGGGAAACCTCTCCTCCTTCACCATCTAAAAGAGAAACACAGAGAGATTAAAGATTAGTTTCAAATCTCTAACAAAATCAAAGACTTGACATACATAAATTCTTCCAACTTTTATGACTGAATGAGATGTTTGATTGCAAGTCCCTCTATTTATGTTGTTTTACAAATTCAGCACAGCCTCTTGCTATTTTTAAATAAGTAACCAGCTTCTCATGTCACTACATTTTTTATTTCTTCCTTGAATTGAACACAAGTTAAATCTTGCCGCCTTGCCACATATGCAATGTAAGAGACAATCTCAGTGGGTCATCATTTAATCATATGCTGCAAGTGAAATGAAAGTCAAAGGAGAAAAAGGCATGACACATTCATAAAATCAAAGTCAACTCAATACAACTCTAATTAAAAATCACTGATTTTCACAATCTACTGTTTGTGGAGTAGATTTACCAAAACTTCTCCTTATTGGTAAATGAAAGACTCAAAGAAGTCCTTTAACTCTTCGTATTTCTGCCTTGGTTATTCTTCTTAGCAAACAAATTTTACCTATAATTTATCTTGTTAAATTATTAAAAAAAACAGGGCCACAGGAATAATATGTCTTATCTCTTCAAGTAAATACCTAAAAAACACTCACAAAACCTAAACATGGACGTATATAAAAAAAAAAAAACTGAAAAGACTAAAGTGAACAAAGAGGAACTGTATCATTTTTAGTCACATAAAAGACTTATCAGTATTTAGAGTGAAAATACCATGACCAAAACTCAGTGTGTTTCAGCATAGAGAGTGTTAGGAAACAACATGCAGCCATTTTGCTTTACTCCGCAAAGCAATGACCTACTTGCCATCGTTTCCTCACATACACTCTTTGCTTCTCTGATTCCTTTCCTGAGCTGTTACCAAAGGGGAGATTAACTGAGGACAGATCCAGCCAAGCTGAAAAAAAAAATCATGTCTGGTAAAAGACAACCGGCCTCCTGCACTGCTCAGAGTACACAAGGATCTGAATTTTATTTTTCCTTTATCCTTACTTATAATAAGATTTGCTATACAAGTGAAACAAACATTTAAAAGATGTTTTTTTTTATGAACTGGAGATACACTTTGTACACTGATTTTATCAAAAACAGAACAGAAAAAACAGATTCTTAACTTTTATATACTGAGACAGAAACAGAGAAAAAGTTCCAATTTGACTCCCTCACTAGGCATACTCTCAAATTGAACAAAATAAAAATAAATAAATAAATAAATAAATAAATAAATAAATAAAAGCGTAGACCAAACAGATCAAGCCCAAAAGGAATAAATGAGAGCACCTAATAATAAAATACTGGTGAATTGTTTCTCTAAAGCATCCATTTTGTTGGTTCTAAAATAATACCTGTCCAACTCAAAGTGAAAACTTGATGAGACAGTGGTGCCTGTGTGCAACCTCGCACTAATAAACTTAATTACACCCCAGAGAGAGATGAGTCACGATGAAAGCAGACAGATGGAGCACGTAAGGCAGACCAGAGTAACACTGCATTGTTTTATTCCCATTTATTTAAGTAAGGACAAATCTGACAACATTCTGAATATAGTGATATGTATTGTTGTTTATGTGCATCATTTTATCAACAAGCATAAAAGATTGCCTTCCTTTTAGGTTTATTCAATTTATTTCTACCTCTCCCGATGGTAATAAAATCCCCTCGTCCAGCAATGTTCCAAAGAAAAGCACCTTCCTTTTTCTTGGAGTGTGAGAATGTGTGAGGAACCCCTCCCTTTCCTTCTACCTCTTATTTTCCCTGACCTTTTATCTAATCCGGCGTGAAAAACATTGTAAACCAACACCCGTCCCTCTGAGTAATTGATGCGACTCTTAATTATATCTATCAGCGTTAGTGATAACGTTAATATGATCTCGTATTAAACTGCTTGGCCATCAGCCACAACCATCAAGTACATTAGAGACACTGACAGTAACGTATTTTGTAGTTGTAAGGGTTACTTCTTTCTGTACATATGCTGTCTGAACATTTTAACCCCTGCTGCCTAAAGAGCTGTAAAGCCCCACTGCATTACAGCCTGTGATGTTTTCTGTATGTTCACCCTCTTAAGATTTTACTTCTGAAGTCATCAGTCCAGCTTTTTCTTGTGTCAATGTCCCTTTATTCTCTTTGTGCCTCCAGTGGGTTTTCACAGCCACTCAAATCACCCAAGCTCCATTTTGCCACATCTACTTTATTCATCCGCTTGTCTTGCCCTACCATCAGCCAGTTGGACAGTTGCACAAAGGAGTGCAGCGCAGTGTTACATAACGTCCTAAGGAGGAGGAGGAAGAAGAGGAAGAGGGGCCATGAGGAGCATAGACGCAGATAAAAATGGTGATGCCTAGCACAAAACTAAAGCATAGCAGAGAAGAGGAAAAAAAAGAAGATCTCTGGGATGTGATTCTTCACATATCAATCCTGCAGAGACCACACCTCTTTTTAGAGGGTATATTTTAACCCGCTGTGCAGTGCATGAGTATATTCAAAGAACAAAAATATGACGTTGCTATCATCTCAATCACATGTTGTTGCATTTTACTTTATGGCACAGGGTTTAACATGTATTCTCAAATCTGAACAGAAAAAAATAAAAAATAAAAAGAAGAGATGTGACTGATGGCAAAAAATCTTCATGTCTGGTGCTAAGGCTAAACGTGTGTGTAGAATATTAGGTGTGTTCCTGGTTAGGTTTCTTGTTAGTTTCATCGTAATAACATTATATTGCCCATGTAGCCCATATAGCAAATGGTTGATGCAAACTTTAAAAGTATAGATACTGTTCTGAAATTCTGCATCTCCATGCAGGTTTGAAAGTGTGTGCGTCTGCATACATCTCAACATTGTTGCAGCGACAAAAACGTAGTGTGAAAAAAAGGATTTATACCTTAGTGACATGAAGGAGGTGAGAACTGGCAAGAAATTTAAAGGCGATGGCAGCAGAGAACGGAATAAAGCTAGCAGCAAAAAGAAAACAACGCAGCTAAAAATAGGAAGCAGATGGGCTGAAAGAAATCAAAAGTAGTGAAATATCCCAGATTGTTTTTCTTCTTTGCCTCACCTTTCTGAATGAGCCAAAAGGTTTCAGTGGCTGACAGAATACTGCAGCCCAGACGTATCCATAATTAAATTCAAATTTACTCCTTCTTTATATTCACAAAACATCTATGGTGAGTTTAAATGTAAAAAAAAATACTGCAATAATGGACAGTCCATAAATTTAATGGCTCAGATAGTTCAAGCCTCTGAAAGTGCACAATGCAGCATGATTTTTGTCTCAGTTTCTGCTCGTCATTTGGACAGTTTCTGCCGTTACCACCAATGAAAACCTCCTGTCTCTGCACCAGTGGTTATGGTGAATGTGTCGCTGTGTGTGTGTATGTGTGTGTGTGTGATGCTCCAGGATGATATGGGAAAAAGTGAACCTGCATCCATATCTGCAGTACACCACCACCACCCCAGTGAAAGTAGGTCACTCTACTTCTACTAACTCCTCTTCCTCTTTCAACAACTTTCACCCCAAATTAAAGTGGCAATTTTTTTTAAAGACCACTCTAGCTTGTTTATCTCTCTATTCTTTCTCATCCATTTGCTCATTCGGTCTCGTCTTTCGTGTTGCGCTCGTTTATCATTCCTCACGTATCCCCGTCTTGGAGATCTTCTTTTGCACTGTGCCATATGTTTGCACCCCATCTTATACACACCCACCACTATTTCCTCCCACTCCTGTCAATATCAGGGGCCATGAATGGTTGCCACGGAAACAATGTCTTCCTGTGAAGCAGTAGGACATCGGTAGGAGCCATGGTGACAGTGCTTATGCTGATGGAGAATAATGCTCGAAGCTTTCTCTCACTCCCTCTCACCACTGTCTGGTCTAACCACACTCCCCTAGCAACAGCAGCCTCATTCAGCCTCCCCTCTTTATTGCCGACTGTGTCTCAGTCAATCAGTGTGATTTAGTCACTGTCACTCCTTCTCAAACCCTCCATTACTTATTCAATATTGCTTAAAGTGTTCTTTATTTTATATCATTTGCCTTGAAAGTCATCCGTTTAACCCCCCCACCCCTCTCTTCCTTGTCTCTTCCAATCTCGCAATGGAAGTTTTTCTATTTTTATTTCAGTTCGACACAAAAACCCACACGTCAGTTTGTTTCAGCAGCAGATTTGTGAATTGGAGGGACAGACAAGGTGATGACATGCAAGGAGTGATGAGCAGATAGGAAGGGCGACTTGAACACAAGCCCAGCCCTGGTTTCTCTAATGTGGCTGTGTTAATCTGGGCGTGGGCTCTGTGCACCATCTGTCACAACAGGAGCAGCACAAAGCAGGCAGACAAAACACTTGGACTCACAGGCGGTCAAATATAGGGACATGCATGTGAAACACAAGGCATTGAGTGCAGATTCAAAATCAGAAGAGCGAAAAACATGGGCGTTGTCAGCTGCCTAAGTCTCATGGTGAAGAGACGCCACCCCGCCAGAACTGCACCCCTCCTGAAACAACGGCTTCAAAGAAATAAAAACCTTAAAGAGAAGAGACTACCTGGTAAACAGCGGGATTTAGCTATAAATAGCACTGTAACTGTGGAGGTTCAGAAAAACTCAACACATCCACTTTCCAGATACGATGAAAGAGAACTGAGATGAACTTCAGTAGATCATCAGAAGAGCAGAGCTAGAATTTTGTATTTCTTATTACCATCACTACGAACCCTGGAGCCTTGTTGGTCCCAACCTAAAATTTTGTATGAAAGGTAATGTAACCTTCAGTTATTTCCATTCATAGCACGGCCAACAACAAGATAAAGAGGAGGCAGGCAGCCCTTGGGTTAAAACGGGCTTACTGCGTGCGCAGGATGTTGTCTCTAGCTGCGACAGCCAGATGAGACCACCTTAAGTCCGTCCAAGCTGATCTCATAGCCACTGATCTGCCCTAAGGACGTCACTGCTGTCTGTTGTGTCCTCTGCCTCTTTCTTGCTCGTCTGTGTTTTTGCTCTCCATTTTGTCCCTCACGTTTTTGAAGTGCCTGCAAGCTGTAAGTTCTCGGCTAAGGCAAGAAATCGATGGCACAGCAGAGGAGGCTGTTTGTACGCAAGTGTGGATGGGAGGAGACGATCGCTAGCTTGGGCGACATGTCTGCGTACGTAGTTCACAGCCTCCTATCTAAAATGGAGATCATGTTGGGCCAGCTTCTTAATTATGTCCAATAATCTTCCAATCAAAACCTAATGTTGGCATCCTGATCCAGTACAATTGTGCAAATATTGGACTTTTTTTTTTTCATTTGCATTATTTTCACTTTTTCTCCAACACTAATCTTTTTTTTGTTATTATTAATCCTTCTTCATCACACTTTATTAGCAAAGATAAAAACTAAGTTCTCTGTAAGAGACAACACAGACTATTTTTCATCACAAATATCAGTAAGGAGCACTGGATGTGCCAAAGGTTTTAGACTAAGTTACATGTGCAAAGGTATTCACAGCTGGGTGGCAAATGAATGTGGGCTCTCTGAACAGCTTGAGGACATCTTAACCTTGAGGAAGCATATCTGTTAAACTCCACTGGAAAGTCGGAATAGCATTCTTCCCAAACACTGACTATTTGTTTGTTTTAAGTACAGCTATAAGTGCTGCAAACCTGTTGAGATCGATCAATAATCCCAGTAGATTTTGTGGGTACGGATAGGGTGTGGTAATGATCCATTTTTTCTTTTGGATGGGCCAAGTTAAAACATTCATGTATGAAACATTTCTCTCTTGACAAATATTTTCTTTCCTTGTTGACCATGACTCCTTGAGTCTCTCTTTTGTTTGTTACAGGGAATTATTCATGATGTGGTTCCAAAATTGTTCCTAGCAGTATTTTAAAAATAATCTTTTGTCTTTAGTAAGGCCCTTTCTGGTAAAATAAAAATATAATATCTTTATCTGAATGTAAATGAAAATATTTTTTTTTGTTTTTGAGCACAAATTCTAAAAATTTATATTTTTTTTCTAGAAACAACCAATCGTTAAGATGGAGAGCAGATGCTTTAGGTTCTGTTTGCGCAATAATAAGTCCTGCCAATGCAAATTTTATATAAACTAATTATGAAAAAGGATTGGAGAAAAAAAAAACTTTTCAAAAAATTGAAATGACTTCCTGAGACTCTAAATCTTTGATTTCCTGTGAGTGGGTGTGTGTAGAACTTGAGGAAGAGAAGAGGCTAACATTAAATGGAGATGGAATGTAATTATGTTATTATTTTGCTGCAGTGTTTGTCCTCTGTGGCTCACTAATTGTATAAACATTTTGCTGACAATCCAATCAACTGTTCTCAGTTATTTTTCTTTCTATGTTTTGTCACTAATCCTGCAACAGAAAGCAGGTAAAGCAGTGTGGAGAAAGGACAGGACATGTCCTGCAGAAGTGAAACAAGGCAAGGGCAAGTCGAGGGAATCTCAAATGCGGTATCATAGCTATTTAATTATTATGTTTAGTTTACTAAGTTATTGGATAATCTGCAGGTATGAATAAATAATTATCTTAAACCGTTGATATGAGGTTTTTGGACTCGTCAAACTAAAAAAAATATTTAAATTAATCAGTGCTGTCAAGATGAAAGATTAGAGTAGGTGTTGTATTTTTTTTTAACTTCAATAAACAGTTCTTCAGTGGCTTACACTCTAAGGTGAAAATAGCTTCACAGATTCTTACCAGCAGCACTCGATGCAGTGGGCCAGTTCTGTACCAGGACTCCCTGAGCTCCCTGCATGACTGCAGACTCTTCCATGTGGACTGAACTAAAAGACAAACAGCACATTGACATGTTAAAACTTAGAGGTATTGCAATGCATAAACTATGATTTATGCTTCTCAAAATTAAAGGGCATCAATAAATAGACAGCAATGCCAAATGTAAGACTGAACTATGTGAACAAAACTTTGCAAATACAAAGCTTTCTCAGTAACTAAATAAATAAATAATATGTGCTGATGAAATTGTAAAGTCTTGATGACACTTTTTCTTTAACTCTGGGGATTATGGGTACAAATGGTCATTTTTACATTTTCACACCCAGTCTGAGTAATTCTGCTCCCTCCTTCTACTGAACACGCACTGAGGCAGTCATAAAAAAGAGGGTTGCTGCAAACTAAAGCTATCCTTACCTTGGAAATAATCATATGGTTTGGCTCAGATAATAAGAGTTTTAGATACTATTGTTTCCTGATATTTCACCTGATGACTATAATCAAAAAATGTAAAAAAAAAATGTCTAGAAATACATTGCTGGGTTATTAATGTAAAATGTATATGGTGCATAGTAATTTTCCAATGATGAAGGCTGCACTTTTATAACAAACTCCTGATTACATTAGGTGCAGCGAAATATGACAGACAGACAAACAGACAGACAGACAGACAGACAGACAGACAGACAGACAGACAGACAGACAGACAGACAGACAGACAGACAGACAGATAGATAGATAGATAGATAGATAGATAGATAGATAGATAGATAGATAGATAGATAGATAGATAGATAGATAGATAGATAGATAGATAGATCGATCTCAAAGCAAAATGGGCTGAATATTTGCTTTTCAGATTTATGTGTTTCCAAAGTAAAATTAAAAAACAAGGATAACTTTCTTCCTCTTCACAAATATTCACTGTACTTGGTTGATAACAAATATACATTGACGTTTGTGGTGATAACATAACTAAATGTGAGAAAGTTTCTGGTCAGATTTTCAGACTGCACCACACTGAGTAAATGTTTTATATGTATGCGCTTTAAGCACATGATAAACACTACAGTAATTTGTTTGCACCCAACTACCACAATGCATTTTAAACACTTACATGTGCTTGCACTTATTACATCAGAGTGAGAAAGAAGTTTATTATATAGGGTATCTTTAATATATCCATAAATAAATGACTATATTTAAAATGATTGATTTAACTATTGAGTTTTGATATTAACATTGTTTGTAATTATGGTGCCATTATGTCAGAATGACCCTTCATTTGGTTTCCAGAGTTATAGGTGATATTTTCACCTAACAACATGTTAGATGATCATCTCTCTGTTTGCTCTTCCCTCCTGTCATTCCTCCGTCTGTGCAAGGAAACATATAGTCTCCCATGTCAAAGTCAATTTATGTTTGATGATCAAGAAATAAATTTAAACTTATGTAATTTTAAATAAATAAATAAACGAATCTCCAATTAGTTCTTACAGAAAACAAGATCATTTTAGATATTTTTTTTTTACTAATATTGCCTGTTTTTCAGAAACAGAAATCTTCATAAATATTTAAATTTAGCCGTTTTATATCCTAAATGGCAAAAGCAAAGCCCCACCTTTTCTCTTAAAGTATAGCTGAACAAGAGCTACAATACAGATATTTAAAGAAATAATTAAAAAAATGGATTCAAATCACACAGTAAATAAACATGCTTTGCCTGCAACCACATGAGACATTTAGGTAGAGCTGGCTACACCGTTTAAAAGACATTTCATTATTTTGCCTTTTAGGTGCAAAAATTGGAACTGGCATGCCATTTTACATTCTTCTTAAGTGAAAGATTCAGCTTCAGTGTTCAGAAATTATCAAGTTGTAAGAAAAGAAAACACATATACTATTATTATTATTAAATGAATTGCACATTTATGCCATTGAAAACAAACCACAACAGCCTGCCAAAAATTGGCAGTGGTCTTATTATTTTAAATTAAATCCTTGGTTTTAAAGTAGGACGTTGAAGACTGTGTTAGCACACTTTTGCTTATGAACAAAAGCTTCCTGAGACTATTATAAAAAGAGATTTGTCTCCATGAAACTATCATTTATGTTTTTTGTTTTTTTATTTGTTTGTTTTTTTTGCTGTAGGATGAAACAACTCATCTATAGTACTGAAAATGAACTTTGCCTAATCTGGATATGATATTAGTAAAACAGTTTTTGAAGATTATGTAACTGCATCTTATATAACAGAGACTCTATGATCACTTACTAAGGGTGAAAATGCACATTTTTAAATCAAGGACCAAATTAAATAGCAGTGTTTTTACATCAATTATGAAGTTAGACTGGGTTTATAATGAAAGGGGTGAATGTGAAACACTTAGAAGAAAGAAACAGAAAATATGATGCTTACCTCTGCATTACACCACCTGCTCTCAGGGAGGCTGAGTATCTCCAGTCTGAATTAGGTGCCTTGGGCTGCAGAGAGAGAATGGAAGGAATTGAGTCTTAAGTACAGGCAAAAGCCAATACCATCTCATTAATAAGTCATGGTGAGAACTGCTGATGAATGTGTGGCACACACACAATCAAGCAGTGGCAGCTTTCTTCAGCCTTTGAAAAGAAAAATGAGTAATGAGCAGAATACTGTAATCTTGCTGGTGCACACATCTCCTCCCATTATCACATCGCCTCCCTTCTTCCATCTGTGACATTGAAAGAAAAAAAAATGACTTTGAAAGATTTTACTTCAGCACTCAATCCAACCAGGTGTTGGGTCACGGGAAAATAAAAATAAAATATATTCATCCAGTATGCTTCCTTTCAACATGGCAGAGCCCTTAAAACAGCATTACTGCAAATGTTTCCTGAAAATCATTTTAAGTTAGGCCAAGAGACATACACAAAAACAGAAATCTGGCTTAAGATGTATGAAATGCAAACTTATTTGACATTAATATGTATTCATATTTGTTTATTAATGCATCGCTTATCCAGACTCCACTTTCTTTTCTTTGATTATTCTGCTGCATATTCCTCACTCCCTTTACTCTGCTATTTACTTTCACATCTATGCTGAACAAAACCTTAAATTTTACTCCCACAAAGTGCGCCAGAAAATGTAGTAAATGTCACCATGGAAACTATACAGAACCATGTCTATCTCTTACTTCCTGCCCACCATTCTCCTGTCATCTTAGTTTAGTGAAGGTCATAGGAAAAAGGAAGGTGAGAGGGAGGGGGAACAGATTTTTGGCATCGTATTCAGACAGTTCTATGAAGGACAGCCTGGGAAAAAAAATGGTTTGAAGCATTCTAAAATGACTCCCTTAACATCCAAGAATTGTAAAAGAAAACTCTAACAACAACAACAACAAAAAATGCTTAATCATGATGAAACATTGTGCTTGAAGGGAAGCAAAAGAGGCTGTTAATCTAACCACATCACCAAGATGAGATTGCATTTTCTCCCTTCTTAACCTTCAGAAAGACAAACTGACCTGAGCGAGGACGCCATATTTCCCCTGTTTGGCCATGCACTTCATAGGAGACCCATTTGCAATTTCATTTCCTTTCAAATTTGACAGATGTTCACTTTCTGCTACAGCCGCATTGACCCCCATGAGTCCGCAGTCCACATTCATCACACTCTGAATTCAATATTTGGTTTAATGAGAAAGGCCTGTTTTTCTTCTCCCGTATTAATTCAAAGGAGCAGAAGGTTGACAGAGACATAGGACACCGCAGGATGTCTAGATGCCAGAAACTGAAGGCAGTATGTGATTAGATGAAAACAGTCGCTGATCTTCAAGCAATCAGTGGAAGGATGAATGGTTTAGACGAGGGACCAAGATATTAGTGTGGACAATATTCACGCAGTCAGAAGTAACCTTTTGCATTTCGCTCCGATTACAGTAAGCAACAACAAACAACCAGTTCAAAATAGGACCAGATTGTCCACAAAATGGGACTAAACGGCTTTGTTTGCTCTTTTGTTGCACTGAAATGGCCAAAGGGAGATTAGTCTGTTTGGCCGTATGGTGTTCATGGGGGTAAACAGAACAGCACGAACAATAAAGCACAAACATCTGGAACATAAACATGTCTGCAGTTTACTGTACACCCAGGGGAAAACTGGAAAATTAACTCTTCACACAGGAAATCCGAACTGGAATTACTACCAAAAAAAAAAAAAAGACCTGAGGGAAAACAAAATAAATATCAATATTTAAATAGATTCCCATGGGCCTTTGAGTATTCCTATCCTTGCACTGTCTCCTATGAATTGTGTGATCAAAAACTCTGGGTTTTGCAAGCCTTTTTCTTGCCATCTCTCCAATTCTCGCCTCTCGGAGTGAAAGTTCCTTCCATGGATACAGAGCTCACACCTCCGCTATCAGCTCTGTGTCCAATCACCTTTTATCCCCCGCCTCATCGGCTTCTAAGCAGCCAATCGTCTCACAGAGCCAACAAAAAACATTGCTGCTATTTAATTACACAGCAAGTGCAAACATGACTGGCATTTAATGAGGAACAGGTCACCGTACAGCAGCACAATAACCTTTACGCTTTCTTTATTGCTTTCACAGTATTTTTTTCTTCACATCTATCTCTTCCTCCACTACTGATGGCTATACTGTGCAGTGAGTATCAATGGTATGAATATTGTTTCATTATGGTGTGCTTTGAAAAAAAAAGATATAATGGACAGTTTTGAGTCATCAATGCAATGTCTATGCTGAAAAGACCTCACACTATAATTTTTACTTTTTTCATCAATTTCTCAAATATTTTGACTTTTCAATAGCAGAGAAACAGGAAGAGAAGATTTGCTACTGTGAACTGGTTGCACTGGTAGCAGCCATCACTGCTCTATTTTTCACACTTTACAGTACCAGTTAAAAGATATTGCCCTTGAAATCACAATACATCAAAAACACAAACTGTTACTTTGTGTTTTTTTCACACGTACTGTTTTAACAGGTCTAGTTTACAGCTGCCCTGAAAAGCAACCAATCAATCCCTAAAAGCTGCCAGACATACATGACCCCAGATATTAAGCTATCAAGATTCAGAACTGATTTATATGTTCACATATCTGGAATAAAGTTATGTGCCCTCTGCCACACTGGTGAGCACTATGAACTAGTTTGAGAAAATACAAGGAATAAAACAAATAAAACTTAAATAGAATAAATTAACATCTTAAAACAAACTCCAGAATAAATGCAAAGTCATACTGAAACACATCTAAAACAGCACAAAGACCACACCAGACAACACACCTGTATGGCAGTTGCATCTGGCATACTGAGGCGGCGCACAAATATCTGACTCTGTCCGCTGTGGCTGGTGACATAGCCCGAGCCCCAGGTGCCACTGTGCGGCCTTCCCGTGTTGTAGAACATGAAAGTGTCACTTCCCGACGTGGCGGTCAAGCACGTCTTATAACAGTACGTTTTGGTCAAAGACCCGTTTCCTCTCACTTCAATATAATGCGGCTCCACTTTGAGGTCACGGCGCAGTGCCACATTGATGTTTTGTTGCACTCCTGCAGCTCCTCCACCGCCACCTGCAGCCCTTGCTCCACCACCAGCACCACCACCACCACCACCTGCTGAGGTGCCACCCTCCGGCATGTTCTTCTGGGATACACAACACGGGGAGCAGGAACCAGTCTGGCTACAGTAGGCATGACATCGCACAATGGCAAGAACAAAGACAGTGACCAGAAATACAAAGGTTGTGGCACACAGGGCTATGATGAGGTAGAGAGTGACGGGTGAAAACATTAGCGGGCTGTCAGGCCTAACAATCTGTTTCGGATCAGGGGTAAACTTCGGAGGAAGGTCCATCACGTGCACATGGATAGTGGTGGTTGAGGAAAGCGGCGGTATGCCATGGTCTCGAACCAGGACAGTCAGAACAAAGGTAGTAGAGTTGTCTTCCATGACTCTCCTGGTGGTGCGGATCTCACCTGTGTACTCATGTACTTTAAAAAGGTCTAGGTCTTTGTTGGTCTGGTTCAGAGTGAAAAACAGCCAGGCATTCTGCCCTGCATCACCATCCCATGCAGTCACCTTGCTAACTAAGAGGCCGGCTTCAGCATTTTTCATTAGTGTTCCATTTGCAGGTGGATAGACAATCCTAGGAACATGATCGTTCTGATCCATAATGTAAACGTATACTGTGGCCACACGGCTAAGGGGAGGCACACCGTTGTCTTGGGCTTTAATCTGAAAGTGAAACTCTCTAAGCTTTTCAAAGTCAAAGGCTTGCAGGGCATAGGCCTCACCTGTGTCAGGTTTGATGCTAACGTAGCTGGCCACAGGTATCCCATGGTTATTGTCATTAAGGACAGTATAAGTTATGCGTGCATTTTCTGCATCATCTGCATCCATGGCCTTAACAACACAAAGAGACGCCCCAGGAGCATTGTTCTCTGTAATATAGACAGTATATGATGTCTGCTCAAAACGAGGTGGGTTATCATTAACATCTGCAACATCTACCCTGAAGCTCATTTGAGATGATAGGGGTGGCGTGCCCTCATCCACAGCGTTGACTGTAACGTTGTATGACGAGATAGTTTCCCTGTCCAGGAAAGCAGATGTGACCACAGTGTAGTGGTTTCTGAAGGATTTAATCTTAAAAGGCAAGTTGGGCATGATCTCCAGGGAAACCTGTTTATTTTGTCCAGAATCGCCATCATTGACACTAATCAAAGCCACCACTGTGTCTGCCCGTGCGTCCTCACGCACAGGGCTGGAAAGTGAAGACAGTACAATCTCAGGAATGTTATCATTGACATCCAACACTTCTACGACTACTTTACAGTGTGCTGCAACGGGAGCTGGGCCTTTGTCCATTGCTTGTATGTACATTTCATACGTTTTAGTCTCCTCATAATCTATATTATTTCTTACCCTAATCTCCCCCGTGTTTGTGTCCATAGAAAACACCTGTCTGACTCGTTCAGGTGTGTAGCTACTAAAAGAATAAAACACTTCTCCGTTTGAGCCCTCATCTGGGTCTGTTGCATTTAACTTAATCAAAAGTGTCCCATTTGGAGAGTTCTCAGGCACTTTAACTTTATACACTGAACTGTTAAACTTAGGCACATTGTCATTGGCATCAAGGATACGGACATTGATCTTGGCCGAGCCAGTTCGCTGTGGAGTGCCTCCATCTATTGCTGTCAGAATAAGTTGATGCGAGGGCATCTGCTCCCGGTCAAAGGGCCTTTTGAGAATTAACTCAATTTGATTATTGTTGGAGGAGGGTTTAATGGAGTCCAACGTGAGGTGGTCGTTTGGAATAAGTCGGTACTGTTTCACGGAGTTGGACCCCTCATCTGCATCTTGAGCTCCCTCGATGTGAAACCGCGACCCGGTGAGAGCAGACTCCGACACCTCAAGCTGGTACTCATCTCTAGGGAACTGAGGTTCGTTGTCGTTCACGTCCAATATCTCCACCTCCACGTTGTGCACTTCCAGCGGGTTCTCCAACACCACCTCCAGGTTACGTGAACAGGTGCCACTGAATCCACAAACTGTTTCCCGGTCGATTCGGTCACTCACCACCAGCTTTCCGGTTTTGTGGTTTATTGTGAAATATTTCCGCCCGCTGTCCGACGTGATTTTGATGCGTCGAGAGGAAACTTTTTTCAGATCCAGACCCAAATCCTGGACAATGTCACCGACTGATGCCCCGTTCTCCAGCTCCTCTGGAATCGAGTATCGGATTTGTGCATTTATAAGGCCACTTAACGTGAACGTCAACACACAGAAATAGCAAAATATATTCTCCATTACTCTATAACAGCATCGTACCGACCCAGCCATCGCAGGCGGGCAAAATTTGCAGACGGTTCGGAGAAATCTTTCCGCCTTTTCAGCTTGCTGCGGGTCCCCACCCGCCTCATCAAAAACAGAGTCCGTGCATAACTCCGACAGTGCGGGGTAAACACCGTATCCTCCGTGATGCATGCATGAAGCAAAGATTTTCCACTGCGTCCATGTTTTCCTCCTCGGTCTGGTTAATGTTTTGAATTGCTCTATCTCTCCTGCAAGGTTGTCTCCTTTCCTCACATATCGCTATTGGTCTCTCTCTCTCTCTCTTTCTGTCTCTCTCTCTCCTTATGTTTCTCTCTGCCTGGATGTGGCGGTGATGCTGTCGGTGGGCAAAGAGGGAGGGAGCGCCACTCGTTCAAATGGTACTGGCTGCATCTCAGCATCTCCGATCAAACAGCATATAACAAGCTAAATGTTTATTTATTTATTTATGTTAGTTGTTCGCCTTAGTTCATGTACATAAGAACGTAAATAGAGTTGACATCCGCATAATGTATTTTTTTAAGCAAAAATAAAGAACGTTTTTTTTTCTCTCTGTCTCTCCTCTTGTCAGCGCCACCGCCACCGCCCTTTTTTGAGCCGAGGAAAACTGATTTATGTGCAGCCATCAACAGATTCCCTTGCTGAGGCAAATTAACAATCACTCAGGAGCAAGGCAAACGGAGCAACAAATCATTTTGAAAACAGGTAAAAAAAAAAAAAAGGAAAAAAAAATAGGAACCTGAGCATCTTGTCAATGCAGTATTACTCGGAGTTTCTATGATGCCATCGTTATACAGTTCTAAATGTCTGCAGGTAATCTTTTCCTAACAGAACCATCAAATGTATAATTAGTTAATCTATTTTATTCTATCAGCAAGCAAAATCTCCATTCATTAACATGCACTTCGTATGTTTTACTCTTTTGTTTTCACATGCTAACAGAAACCAGAAAACTATCTAATAATTAACTAGTGAAACAAATGTTTGTGTCCTTAGCCAAGTCGCAGACAATATACTCCAGCTGTGACCCCCATTGCACATCTGGCAAAAACACCACAACTGTCCTGAGAGACAACATTTACACATATTCTGTTTGCTCACATGCTAAAGTCTGCAAACATACACTAATGTATGAGGTACTTTTTAGTATGTTTTTTTTTTTTTCTTACAATGCACTATGTTAAACAAGAATGAAATAATTTCAATTATAAGCACCAAAACTAGAGGAGGGGATCTTTTTAGCACCCTAACCATAATCAAGAGGAAGTAAAAAAAAATAAAATGCAGGTTTATTGGAGGAAATGTCACAAATTCCCAATAGAATCTGAAGCTAATAACACTGCTAGATGCCTCTTGTAAACTAGTCTAATTTCAGCCTTTGAAATTTCAACCTCTGTGTGTTTATACAATACATATTTACCTCATCCATAATGTATTCATGCAGTCCCAGTAGGATTTTTTTTTTATTACAAAACACTTTACAAAATGTAATAGCCCAATTGCTATACATTTGTATTAAAATGTTTGTACTTTTAAAATTTGGTATTTACTTGTTCACTAAGTGAAATCACTAAGATAAAATTATGAACCATTGCCCTCAGACAATACTTCCCACATCTAGTATTGAGTGTAACTGAAAAATAGGGGGAAAAAACTTTAGGCAATTTTATGCATTTACATTCTTTAAGACTGTTAACATCAAAGTCTAGCTGCATATAATGAAGTTTAGTAAAGACGGTTATTTGTTTTGCATCTGTGATAGGTTTGCATAGAATGTACCAAAGTTTAGGACTTTTTTTGCTCTACAGAAATGCCTTGTCCTTCTCTTTGTGAAACCATCAATCCTTTTGGTATGCCACAGCCACTGGGCTAAGATGAGAATCTATCCGCCCACATTATTCCTTTTCCATGGTGTTTTGCCACTCTCACCCACGCTAAATTTGCCCACAGCAATGACAACACTTGGCACCCAGAGTCAGAGGGAACAGTGACTCACTTGGATGCAGCTAAAAGGATTTTTTGATGACTTCTTTAACTGAAATGCCTTAAATTCTGGGTGGCAAAATTCAGAATTAAAAAGGAACCCAAATGTTTTATTGAAAAATGTTATGTCATGCACGAGCTACATATTAAAATTAAAAAGTACATCCAGTCAGTGCCGTAGCTCCGCCCAATTGCAAAAGAATCAGACTTGGTCGCTATAATTAGTCATGATGAGAACATATTTAGCTAAAATTTAAAACATTAAAAAAGTTGAAGTCTTAATAATTTTTATATGTATTTGTGATGTTGTAATCATTCACCTAAGAGATAAGGGATTATCTTCTCCTTCTTTTTAATTGCAGAAGGATATCTCTGATGGCTCCACATGTAGATCTACAGTTATAGCTATGACATTTAACAGATTTTCCCAGTGGGGTAGTTAAAACTCCATGTTTTGCTGCGATTAAAAAGGAAAAAAAAAAAAAAAGGAAGAGGACCAGTGACATTTGTTTGGCAAACAATAAACACAGATTTCTATTACACCTGACCTTTTCATGTGTCTCACTTTTCACCACTTCCAACTCTTTTCTAATTTATGCACATCACAGACTTCTGAACAGCTCCCCGGTGCCTGTGCCTGCGTCACAAGCATCCATCTGTCCCAGCATTAATTGCATGCCTCTCAGCTGTAGATTTCATTTTTTTCCACTCAAGGGTGCTGCGGATAATGCCATCAAAACTATTCTACGTGCAGACAGATGCCTGTCTCGGTTCAACAGATGCTAATCTTATAGAAGATAATTGGCTCATTTTGTCTGTCTCTCACTCTGTTTTTTTTAAATTGATCCTTTTCTTAATTATCAAAACTTTCTGTGCCATTAGGCAAGGCACTTGTTGTCTACTGATATGCATCTCAGTGTATTAGTGTGTGTGTGCATTTGTGGATGCGATTTATGTGGATGTGGATGTAGTGTAAAGCGCTTTAAATTGGTCTAAATCGAAATGATCAGAAAAATTGATCAATTCTGTCCATTTCCCACTTGCTTTCCTTTGTGTCACTGCAGCACTGTGAGCCAGCTGCTGTGCCAGCTGAGGGGGAAACGTCTTTAATGTCATTTGAATATTTTCAGACTGAGAAAGTGGGTGAAATACGACCAGTAGCTTTGAAAATAACTTCCTGTGATGGATTAAAGCCAAGATTAAAGTTGAAGCTTCCTCCTTGTTCGCTGTGTCTACCCCAGTATGAAAGAACCCCAATTTCATCAATTATGTAGTACACCCACTAGATTAATAACATTCTCTCCAACCTCATTAATACTGTAAGCAGATACTCTAAAAACCATTTGTATTAGATCCCCTAGGAGACTTTTCCATGGAATCCCCCCGTTTTAGTGAGTCAGACTACAAAAGAAATCTTGCAAGGAAACTGGTCGTGAGTGGGCTATCATGAAGCTTCACTCATCACGTCATTCCCTCAGCCACCACATACAAACAGAAGCAGCCATGCAAACATAAAGGGCATTTGTGCCTGTAGGACTGGGTGCTCTCACACAACAGTGTAGAATGGTATCTGAGGCAAATGCAGGAAGATAGTTTACTGTTCTCGCTGTGAAAATTTAAATGCCAGGGAACCGTCTTCTTCTGCCAAGAGTTTGATGAGCAGATGGGAACAGAGAAGTGAAGCATGCGTTTCCTTTTTTAGACTGTCTAAAAGAGAAGAGCAGAAATAGGTGGATTTCTTATTTTCTTGTCCCCTCATTGAAAAGCGCTGTCTCCGAGGTTTGAGTCTGATCCTGTTACAGTCAAAATCTGGTCTACAGGGCAAGTGGGACTGCAGTGGCATTGTATAAAACCAAGTTTAGAACAAAAAAGCATCAATAAAATTCTGAAATTTGCAGTACAATTTAAATGACAACAGAGGAAGTAAATTCCCCAAAAAAGCCAAACAAAAATACTTGCTAAATAAATAGGTACAATGAATAGGATCAAGCCAAATAATGGAATAAATATTATAAAAAAAGGACAGTCAAAATTGATAATTCACCTTAAAAGCTTTAATTTTGTTTTGCCAGTGCTTTATTGCAATGGAATAACTGCAGCAGCAAAAAACACATTGTCACAGGAAGTCTAAATCCAGCTGTGTATCAGGGGGTATGAGTCAGTAAAAAAAGAAAAGGTCAATGAGAAGAGCTTTGAAAAGTTAATCCCCATGTCAGTCAGAGGGTGCAGCCTGAGGAAGAGGTGGGAAAGACGGTGAAATTGGTCCCTCTGTTGGAAGAAATCAGTAGTGCAAAGATTTAACACGTGATTCTCTCCCTCTGCTCATCCACCCAGGCTTTTTTCATTAAGCCAAAGTACTAAGGCATAATCTCATCTATGACAGAGTGTGCTTGAGAGTGAGAAAGGGAGGCGGTTGGAGGGAGGCGAATACCTAATTCTGCCCCGGCGGTCAAGTTCTTTATCTATTCTAGGGCAAGCGCCATACTGACAAAGCTGGATGAAAAAACAGGACAATGTGTGGAGGTGAAAGCAAGGGGACGGGTAAACATATAACATGTCTGTCTCCAGTTCAAACAATGACAACATACACCACGTTCTGTATTCATCAGATAAATATTGCACAATTAAAATTATTTAGTTGAACAAAATTGTAAAAAAAAAGAGTAAATAATAAAAAAACTAAGTATTACAAAAACAAAAAGAATATACTCATCTATTACTGAAAAAAAAACGCTTTAAGGACTGATATGTGTACTCACACCTTTTGAAGAATTGGCTCATTTAAAGCCTAATTATAACCACATTCAGTATGGCTTTTAAAGCAAGCATGCACTGAAGAGGTTCAATACGGATGTTTGTTCTGATCCCACGTGTACCTTTCCTTCAAAAATAAAGGTCACAAGTACAAAAAGCTGCCTAAATCCCTCCCCAGTGGGAGCAAGCACTGGCTAAACAACTTCTTGCATGTCCTGATTCCGGCATGAATCAAATCCTCGCTGCTGCACCAAAGAAAGCTATCAGTAAACGCAGGCAGGCTTGGATACTTTCCCTCTCAGGATGGCCTGGCTTTGTATCTCTGTCGGATTGGCTAGGATGGACCCCGTGGTGCAGAGCATGACAAAGATAATTTAATGAGAGCAAAAATGTTCCAGTGCCAGTGAGAAAGAAGGCTTGGTGGAAGTAGGGGATGTATGATGAGTGCCTTTCTTTAATGTGTGACCGACTGTAGGCTTGTATTTTTTTTTTTCACTCAGCTTTAGGGCATGCATTTTATCTGTTTTCTTTTTTTTATCCATCTCATTCTTGCAAACCCTGGTTTTCTCACTATTTCATGCTCAAGGCTCAAATCTGTGCTGCTGTATTTGGGTCTTTCTGTGAAATCTTTTCCATTCTGGAATTGTACTAATC